CAGGTGTGCACCACTATGCCTGCTCTTTATTTTCTTAACAACTGTAAGAAATAGTAGATCACAAAACTGAGGCAGAGGAGTCATTTGCTTAATCACAGAACTGACGAGAAGTAGTGGCAAGATTTGAACTCAGGCCTCTTGTAGGCACATGCCAGGTATGCTGTGCATGCTGGTGTGAATGTGCATGTGTGGGTCTGTGTGTCCTGGGAGAGGGAAGGGTGTACTTTTCACTCTGGTCTTTTAACCCAGACCTTACAGGTTGCAAAGCCCTGTATGATGATCTAATCTATGTTGATTTAATAAAGAAATATTTGGTCTTTGCCTCTAGTTCCTGGCACAGAATTCCTAAAACTTTTGCAATCTCCTGAGCAACAGGGGTGTTAAAAGAATCTTTTGTTCTAGGAGAGTAACCCGGAGGTCTCAGCTACCACCATGAGCCTCCTCAACAAGCCCCAGAGCTTAAAATGCTTTGGAATTTCCAATGTGACAGGAGTATCTTTCATTCTAGTGAGGTGCCTTGTGGTGGGCTACTGGATGGGGCTAATAACCAGAAAGAGGAAGCAGTTTTTAATAAGCAACTTTCAGCCCTACCCACCATGCACCAGGAAGGGGAGAGCTTCGGGCTGCATGGATCAGCAGTGGCCAATGACACAAACCGTGCAGACAGACCTTAGACATGCAGTGTTTAAGGCACAGGGTTGGGATGAGCTCCTGGAGGTCTAACATGGGAGGCACCTGAGGCCCACTTATAGAGAGCAGAGGCTTCTCTCCCCTTCCATAGGCCTGGCTCTGTGCCTCTCTTCATCTGGCTATTTAATGTTATCCTCGGTCATGTCCTCTAGTACTAAACCAGAAAGTATAAGTTTATTCTTTGAGCATTCATTGAATGCTAGGAGCTTGTTGTGGGAACCCCAATCTATAGCTGGTTGGTCAGATGCACAGATTACAAACTACTATTTGTGACTGATATCTGATGTGGGGACAATCTTGTGGCTGAGCGCTTAGCCTCTGGGAACCATTCTAAGCATGGCAGTGTCAGAGTTAGTTATACTATAAGGACACCCAGCTGGTGCCCACCAACTTGATTACTGGTAAGGAGAAAGCACCACATATCTGGCGTCAGAAGTGGAATCTTGAGAATGCTAGTGTAAGAAAGGAATAAAGCACTGGTTTTTCACAGACTCTTTAAGGCAGCACTATGTCCAAAGGTCCGTAGGTATCTTTTTTAAAGGTCACGCCTGAACCTGGGCCACATCTGCTCAGGCTCAGGTTTCCTAGGGATCCCTGGAGCAGTCACAATGATGGACAGGGACAGTCAAATGACTCTGGGGTGGCCCTGAGGGGCTGTGTCCTAAGCTCCTGTTTCCTAACTAATGGTCACATTAACCTTCATACTAACAGGGCCTATAGTTCCTTTGGAGTGGGCTGCAGGGGCTGCCAATGGCACATAGTGCTGTACTTCTGTAGGAGTGCCAATGCAACCTAGGTAGCATGGGAGAGGCTGCTGGGGCCTGACCAGGGCCACCATGGAGAACGCACCCCAGACACTTACTGTCTCAAGTACCTAGGTAACAACCAAAATTAAACAACTTTAGGGTCCCTGGTTATCCCTCCTGGAAACTTTATTTTGGATTATGTCATTTAAATTATGCCACAAGTGCCAGCAAGATAGCACAGCGGACTAAGTGCTTGCTCAGGCAAGCACAAGAACCAGGGTTCAATCCCTGGCACCGCATACCGTGCCGTCTCCCCCTGCCACTCCCACTGGGTACACTGAGCTAGCGATGGACTCTGGGCATAGTGGTGTACACCTGTAATCCCAGCACTAGGGAGGCTGAAAATAGGAGGATCACTATGAGTCCAAGCTGTATAATGAGACCCTGCACAAAAAAAAAAAAAAAAAAAAAAAAACCTAAAAAAAAAATTATGCTACAAACACATGCCAAGATCTGTACTGAACTATCTTGGCATTTGTTGAAAACAGCAAATGTGACCAAAAACTAATAGGGAAAATTCTGCTTTGGAATGGCACTAGATCCTTTGTGTTGAGGAAAGACCTGTGAGGGGTCTTGTCATTGGTTTAAATATATCATCTCTTTTAGGCTTTAAACAAAGCCTCTGTGTTTCTATCCACATTGACAGAAAAGGAAAACAGGGCTCAGATGGGACAACTTCTGATTCCAGGGGGGCACACATATCCCACCAACCCCACAGCCAGGATACCCTGAGCAGGACAGGGATAGGAAAGGTACATCTTTGTTTTCCTCAGATCCTTCCAGCTCTGAAAGAAGGCCCAAAATCAAGAAGAAAAGCCACCCATAGTTACAAAGATAGGGTCATTTATTTATGTTATATTACTGGATTTCACAGGCAAAAATACAGTTGTCCGTTCTGAACACCAAGATCAGATATCCCACACTAACACAGTAAATACACATATTTGCATATGCGAGAAATAAAAATACATAGCACAACAGGTCTTGAGGATATAAAAGTTGTTTCCTGATTTTGCGAGGCACTCCACATCCAGGCAGAAACCTTGGGCAAGCTAAAGGTCAGTCCAACATTTCCCTTACTCTCCTGTGCCAACTCTTTCTCAAAGGTCATGTCTCATGGGGTCATTGGTAACAGGATGGACAGACTCAGAGAAAAGCCCAATTGCACAGGAATGATTGTCAGGAGAAGGAAATGCTCCCTGAACCCTCAGCCCTGGAGTGTCCAGCGAGGAAACTGGACCCACAGCATTTCATGGGCTGGGCAAATGTCACTGTTGTGCCTTGGACCTGGGGATCCCCCTGAGAGAAATGGCAAGTCAGCAAGTAGGCGGTACAGGTGAAGCAGGTTCTGAGAATGGACCTCATACTCACATGAATGAAACTGTAACAGGAAAAAAAAGAAACAAACAAAAAAAAAAAGCTGAATTTCAAGAGTGAAGGAAGTAACAAGTCACCATTCAGGGCATCTGTTTCCTTTTTTAAGGCACTTTGGAGAAGTCAGGATCTAGGGGCAGGAAGGCCTCTGTATTTCTCAAAACTCTCATAGTGCAGTCAGTTTCAGTGTTAATATCATTTTAAGGCATGGGAAACTGATGGAGGAATGCCCTGCCTTGGCCTGTCTGCTCTGCAGAGGAAGGCAATTTCTAATCAAAACAAAGACTTCTGGAGAAAGAACTCAGTCAGCATTCAAGATGCTCAAAGCGATAAAGGCACAGGTAGGATTAGGGCCCAGGCATCAATTTGGCCTCCACAATCAGGGCTGGTGCCCAGGAGGGCAGTAGCTTGGGTCCTGACTGCCACAGCAAAGGGCTCAAGCTTGGATCAGGCAGCTGAACCTTAGGACCTCTGCCTAGGATGGATCTGGGAAAGGCATTTTGTGGTAGGAGTCCCATCTGCCATCTCACCAGAGGAGAGGTGGGTTTGTGAAGGGCCCCTGTGGGTTAGCTTCACAGAGGTGGGAGCACCTGCTAAAACCCTGAGGGGGAATGGGAGGCTTTAGGCACCAGAGTTCTCGCGGGGAACTGGGGGTGTGGGTCTGGGTCACTAATTAAAAGGCACAGTCATGCTGAAGAATGAATAGTCTGTTTGACCCTGAGTGCCACAGGCAAATTTTAGGAAAAGGCAAGAGGCAAAGGAACTAAAGGGAAGAGGAAGGAAGAAAGGAGAAAGGCAGGGCAGGGCAGGGAGGAAGGAGAAAGATCAATAATGCAGGGTGGGCCTGGGAGTTAGACCACAGAGGCTCTGGGGAGCAGTCCCTGCCTGGAACAGAGGTTCCCTCAGCTAGGGAGGGGCTAGGGGATGTAAACAACCTGACCCCTATCATTTACAACCCCACAGCTTAGAGCATTATGGGGTCAGTCAGAGGAGGCTGAGGCCCTTGGTGCTTCCCACCTGGGGAGGGTGGCAGAGGTGGAAGGTTGTGCCCAGTAGGCTGGGCCTGGCTCCCATGTCTCTGCTCCCGACGTCTGGCAGGATAATGATGACCAGAAGGCCTTACCCACATCAAAGGATCCAAGATGATTTTGCTCTTCATAAAACCTGGCCTGTCAGCTAAATCAAGAGGGCCGATCTGTGGCCATTACAGCATACATTTTTTTTTTCTCCTAAAAAAATGTTCAATCCCCTCCCACATTTAAAACACCACAATAAAAAAATACACAGGCAATTCAAGTTTACATAACATGCCCAGAAAAATAGTCATGACTTAACACTAAATAGCTATGTAAATTTGGATCAACACAAAAATCAAGCTAGACCATAATTAGAACTTGATTTTTAAAATACTATAAGCTGCTTCTTTTAAAAAATCTTTACATTCAGAAATCAGACAACTTAGAGATAGGCACTGTAAGTGAGAATACCCAGGGCCGTTGCTCTGATGGCTACAGCTGCCTTGGGATTCATACATAAGCAGGACAAAGGTTCAAGGCTCAAGTTTTAAAATTTTTCTGAAAAGACACACAACACACAGTGATTGTAATAGTTGCATACCACTGAACGAAGGTGAGGGAGAGGACATAATATGAGACTGGTTGAAACTTTGTTTTTCTGTTAAAACTTTATAATCAGAAGATATCATACTAACCAATTTTAGCAGCAGTCTCCAATTTTTCATGAAGTCATAAGAACGTCACAATTTAAAGCAAAATCCTTATGCATTTCATACTTTAGCAGTTTCATTAGTGGGACTGAGTCCCATAGTCATCAATTTTAAACTGTGCACAATTCTGAGGCTTTGGGATGACCCTGTGAACATGTCAGGAAGCCCATACAGGCTGACAGCTTCTACACCGATAAACACCTTGTACTGCTAAGAAGTCACCTGCCACACCAAGTTGCGGACAAAATGCTCCACTCCTTCTGGCCATCCAGAAAGGTGTCTGAATGATGAAGGAAAGGACCTATTATTCAGGTTGTACACATGAGAGGGACCAGCCCACAGACTGGCAGAGTCGCACGGCAGACGTCCCTGGCCGTTTTCAGTCTCTTATCTGTATCAAAATGCTAGCTTGGTGTCCCAACGTCCACTGTGATTTTGGTATATAATTGGTATCTTTCTATGGTCAATAACTGATAGGTGAGTGAGTTCAAACCATCATATTTCATTGTCTCCTTTGTGTGTGCAATTCGGGAAAACCTGCATGGAAAAAAGGCAAGGGGAAGGCGTCAGAACAGGAATGTTAAGAAAGTATTAGAATGTCCTTTTCCCAGGGCTGGTGAGATGGCTCAGTGGTCTGGGGCACCTACTTAGAACAAGCTTAGCAAAGCACAGGGACCGCGGTTCAATCCCCCAGCACCACATGCCAGCCAGCCCCGCCCCCTGGTGGGCTGA